TGGACTCTTACGACCAGTAGTCCTTAAACCGAATCATTCATGATTCTATGGATATCTGCGGAGACTCCAAGCACGTTTTTGATGATGAATCATCCCACAACCCTAAAGCCTACACCTCCTGAAGCAAGCCGGTCTCTCTTGATTCCCCACTTCTCAGCGACCTTCTATGGTTCCATTTCTCCACTCCAGGGTCCGCGTGTGTGCGCCTTCTGCATGTGCTGAGCATCCGGGCTTCAAGTGTGCCAAATGCACGCACTTGACCACGTGCAGATGAACAACTCTACGAAACATGGGTCACGAATAGGGCTCGAAGCCAAGATTAGCATCCGGCATCTTGCTGGATATGACCCTGCCGAAGCATCCAGTATAAAAGTCAATCATTCTTAGGGCCCCCCAAGCAGTGGGACGAATGTCGACAGCTGCTGCTCTGAATCTCAGCCAAATCCGCGACCAAACATCCTCGGGTCCTCCAGCAGGGATGAAAGCTGACGAGAGGTCTGGTGAGTTGCACTGGGGTCCTGCTTTCAGTTAGGAGGCTTAACATGTAAAACCCAACAGGGCCGAAGTGCAACACGGCGACCCTACTACCACAGCAAAACCCGTCTTTTCGCTGGATGCCTTTGGCCACTGGATTCTAGCTGAGGTCTGATGTACCATGTTGGCTATCCGCCGTCCCGCTTGGACAAAGAGAACCATCAGAGCACTTGCGAAACAAGAACAATAGATCAAGGCCACCAGATTTCCAAAATTGGGTTAAGTCGGCTAGGCCGAACCCCGAAACGTCCATACGCCGTAAAGCTCCTCAAGTATCTTAAGCCCCTTCAACCCTGCCTGACCTCAATCTCAATCCATGCCCCTAAACCCTAAACCCTAAACCCTAAACCCTAAACCCTAAACCCTAAACTAGGCCATTCCAACGGCAGTAGCAGAAGCCTTGTTCAGCCCGCCCGTCTCTGCGTCCACACAAACGTCTGCAGCTCAAGCACCCGGCCGTCCTGATTTGAGGAAAGCTGCTTCCAGTCTCCGAAACACCATGCTCCCCACCAAACCCTAAACCCTAAACCCTAAACCCTCAACCCTAAACCCTCAACCCTAAACCCTAAACCCTAAGAAAGCATCGGGATCGAATCCAAGCGTCGCCCTTCCCCGCATCGCCAGCGCTTCGGAGCGGTCGTTCTCCCAGGCCGGGAGCTAGCTCGTGGGCTTGCGGGCGCCCGTCTCCGCCCAGTCGCCTGAACTAGGGTATACTTACCAGCCATCCCCATGATTTTTTGATAACCAGAGGTTCTACCGAGTATGACTCCAGAAGGGATGACTCATGAAGCAGCAGAGGGAAAACGGTCCATTCAGCCCTACTGGCACCCAGCCTGGAACCCTAAACCCGAAACCCTAAACCCCAAACCCGAAACCTAAACCCGAAACACTCAGCCCTCATGGCGCCCGGCCGCCTGAACAGCCAACTTCCTCCATAACATCGAGCTCCAGGTCCCCAAGGACTCCTGGGAGCCATTATTAGACCCAGGAGTAGCCTAGGTTTTTAGGGGATTCTGCGGGAACCCCAACCAAAAAAAAAAAGGAAAGAAGGGCCTGCTCCGAGACCTAGGTTGTAGGGATTTAGGGTCTAGGGTAGTTTTACTTTGGAGTTTGAGGCTTTGGGGATTTAAGGGTTTTAGGGTTTAGTCTGCCCCCAAAACCCCTGAACACTCAATCGGGTGTCCACACCCCGACTCGACCTCTATTCCACCGCCGGGCGACTCGCGAACTCCTGGCGATCGATGGCCTGCCTGCGGTTTAGGGTTTAGGGTTTAGGGTTTAGGGTTTAGGGTTTAGGGTTTAGGGTTTAGGGTTTAGGGTTTAGGGTTTAGGGTTTAGGGTTTAGGGTTTTAGGGTACGACTGGAGTGTAAGGCCACGCAGATTGCGGAAGGGTGTGCTGTGCTTGCAAGGATGCTTGATTTCCGGGCCTGCCCTTCAGCTCCTTCTGTCGCCGACGCTTCTCCTCACTGCAAAGTCAGCAAAAAGGCACCGGCTGCGTGCCCTAAAAACTTGACTTGAGAGGCGGCATGCTAGCAGTCCTGCTTAAAGGCGATCATCTCGGGCGAATCCTTCCTTGGCTTCAGAGACACATGCCGTCAAGAGCTGGACCAACACAACATGATCCTGATGTCCACGCTTCTGCTTTGAGAGTTTGCTGGCAACTCCCTCAGCTGACAGTGCTGGCAGCTCTTCTTGTAGGTTTCTTTTTTCAGCCCAGGCGTCTTCTTGCTCTTGGCCTTGGCGTAGCCCGCCTCCGGGGGCCAGACGCAAGGGAAGAGAGGCACATGAAACGCATGCTGATCATGTAGGCGACCTAAAACTGGCTCTGGGAGGCTTGCTTGTGACAGGGCTGCAACCCTGCCTAGGCAGCAAGGCATTGGGAGCGCAACAGATGACGCATCATGGCAAAACCCCGAACCGCACAACTCCAAGCAAGACCAACCCTAAACACCCCCTTGAAACCGTGAAGCAGAAACTTAAAAAAATTTTCAACCCGAAACCATGGGCCTCTGGCACGGCATCTGCGGGGGGCTCAAGCTTAACAAGCTCCTGCTCGAAGAGTTCTAGGGGCTTCGTTTTCGGTTTCGTGCTAGGTTTAGGCAATAGATGGCCAGAGGCCATCGGATAGACTCAAGGTTCTTCGGTTCCTCTTTACGGAAGTAAAACCTCCGGAAGAACCGGTGGGGAGTCCTCCTCCAAAGCGCGGACCTCCTCCGAGTGCCTCGCCTCGAGGCTTTCGAGGCGGCGCAGCAGCTCCCGCCTCTTCATGGCTCTTAAGGGGTGCTCAGGGTTTAGGGCTCAGGGTTTAGGGTTTATCAAAGTATTTTGGGTGAAGGGTTTAGTGAACCCTAAACCCTAAACCCTAAACCCTGGACCCTGAACCCTGAACCCTAAACCCTAAACCCTACAGAGATGCAAAAAAAGATTGGGGCTGAGACTGCCGGAGGCTCCCTGTTCCACTGCTGAAGTCTTAACTACATGATAGGGTTTAGGGTTTAGGGTTTAGGGTTTAGGGTTTAGGGTTTAGGGTTTAGGGTTTAGGGTTTAGGGTTTAGGGTTTAGGGTTTAGGGTTTAGGGTTTAGGGTTTAGGGTTTAGTGTCAGGAATGAGGGGCTGGATCCCTGTTTCTAGCCCGGGAATCTTTGCAAGCATATGCATAGACAGAGATATCGACATATACATGTACATATTTGTATACATGAATATACATGTTATGCATATATGTGTGCGCTTCTGAAACCATGCCGAATGCCAAAGTCCCTATCTACTACCGGTTGAGCCTCGCATCTTGATCCAGGGCCGGTGGCGGAAGTACCTGCGCAGGGAGGTAGCAATGTAGCAAAGACTGCGAAGCCCCAGAAGGCCGCCATCAATCCAGAATTTGCGAGTACCCGCTCCGATTAAGAAGGTTGTTGGGCCCTGGGAATTTGTAAACTATATTGAAGGTAGTTGAGTCGAAAGAAATGGCTCCGATTTTTGGTATTCACGAGCATCAAAAAGTTTAAGTTTTTGGAAACAGCCTTCGAGAGAAGAAGACACAAGACTCGTCATGTTACCATTCATTACCGCAAAACCCGAGGCCCATCAAAGGCCGCACAAAAGGGTTCATGAAACTCATGCGCTTCCTTTCTTGTGGTTTAGGCTAATGGGTTTGGGATGTTCCCCCCTATACGAACAGTCCTTAACAGGGATTATAGTACCCCCTATATAATCCCTATTCAGGACTGTTAGTATAAGGGTACCGCGGCTACTCATGCGGCTTTTCAGGGGCTTTTGCTTTGGAGAAGCACTTGGAGCCAGTAAGCCCTATGTCACAGCCCTAGAAACATCCCAAAAGAAGACCTTTACACCCTAAACCCCAAAACCTCTTCCATGGTGAGAGATGGCCTGGAAGACAGCCGCTACAGGAAGGTGGTCGCTGGGGTTCTCCTTGTTCGGCAGACCGCTCGCTGAGGCAGCATCGTCCGCCTCTTCCAAGGCACACGAGACTCTCAATAAATGGAGATGGTATAGTATCCCCTCCCCCTAAAACTGAACCCCGCCTTCCCCCGAATATATATATATATATATATGTATATAGTGAGTTTTAAATATTAGGGGGTAGGGGGGGTTTTGTATTAGGGGGAAGAGATTGATCTGGCCTCCAAAGTTGTCCACAGCTGGTGGAGCTGGAGCGTGTCTGAACTGTGCAGAATGTGATCCTGAGCCAGCAGAATCAGTGAAGTACTAAGTCACAAAGGCGCAGCGCGTGTAGTGCGTTATCGGTGAAACGGAACCCTGGCCAGGGTATGGGGCTTCTTGACGTAGGCTGAGTTCGCCTTGGGATTCTAAGGATGGCTTCGGTTCCTACTGCAGTGGCACACTGCATTGCAGCCAGAGTGCAAGTCGCCAGGTGACGCAGGGACCCTCAGATTTGCCGTGGTCATACGCGGAGCGTGTCGGGCCAGTGGGCACGCGCGACAGGCTGATGCGGTGCTCACTACGCGACTGCGCTGCCTTTTGCCAGAGCAGCCGCCACTGCTCCAGCTGCTCAGAAGACGGTTCGCCGTCCCCCCCGGCCGTCTCTTTGCTGCTCACAGGCACCTCATCGTCTCCGTCCTCGCCGCCCACAATCCGCAGGGCTGACGCGCACTCTCGGACCATGTCCTCGTCAGAGGGGGCCTCATCTGAGACAAAGGCCGCAATGCATGATCCAGGGCGGCACTCGGTGTTCAGGTCTCCGGCAAACACCACGTGCCGGGTGCCCAGAGCACGAGCTCGCTCCAGGCACTTGCGCAGTTGCTCGACTCTCTTCTCCTCGCTCTGTGCATCAAGGTGCACTGAGAAGAAGGCCGTCTTACCTAAGGCCGCGAGCGGTGACTCCGGGCAGCCCTGCAAGCACGCCGAGACGAGTGTGTTGGGGTCCCCGCGCAAACCCTCCTCGTCTGGTTGCACCAGGCGGTCGCGCCGGAAGAGAACTGCGCAACCAATGGCAACCCTGTTTGCCAGGACGCGCTCGTTTCGCTCTGCGATGAGTGTGAGGTACTTCTCTGCAGGGATACACGCCGAGTAGTTCTCAAGCCCCTGAAGCCAGGTTGGCAGCAGAAAAGAGCCATCTGGCGAAGCCTCAAACTGAACTTCCTGAAGGCAGATGACATCAGCGCGCCAGCTCTCGAGTTGCTTCAGCAGCCGCTTCCTCCGCAGATCCCACTCGAGATCCTCTGTGGAAGCCCACTCGAATGCTGCGAATGGCTGCACGGCTCCAGTCCGAAGATCAACAGGTCGTACAAATGCTGGCGCGAGGAGGTTGTAGCTGAGAACCTGCAGTCAGGAGGTTTAGGGTTTAGGGTTGAGGGTTTAGGGTTTAGGGTTTAGGGTTTCGAACACGTAGCGCAAGGGTCATAGCGGCTGAGTGGCTGAGAGGTAAGCAGGCTCTGCGTCCAACGGTGTTCCTGCAAGTCCCGGGAGCAACCAAACAGACAATCACTTCTGAAAGCAGTACACGGGGTTTATAGGGTTTAGGGTTTAGGGTTTAGGGTTTAGGTTTGAGGGTTTAGGGTTTAGGGTTTAGGGACAAGTCTCCGAGCGCATCTGGCCCGGGGCATTTCATCAGGCCCATGGTTGATGGCTGATGCTCTATTAACTCGCTCTGAGGAATCCCAAACCTTGGATTTTTCTTCGGCCACCTGAAAAGTGTACGAGGCTTAGTATGGCTTTCGTGTGAGAACGAGAGAAAAGAGAGAGAGAGAGAGAGAGCAAGAAAGAAAGAAAGAAAGAAAGAAAGAAATAAAGAAAGAAAGAAAGAAAGAAAGAGAGAAAGAGAGAAAGAGAGAAAGAGAGAAAGAGAGAAAGAGAGAAAGAGAGAAAGAGAGAAAGAGAGAAAGAGAGAAAGAGAGAAAGAGAGAAAGAGATAAAGAGAGAAAGAGAGAAAGAGAGAAAGAGAGAAAGAGAGAAAGAGAGAAAGAGAGAAAGAGAGAAAGAGAGAAAGAGAGAAAGAGAGAGATAAAGAAAGTATAGATTTAAAAAAAACGGGGGCGAGGGCGAGGGCGAGGGCGAGGGCGGGGGCGAGGGCAAGAGCGAGAGACAATACTAACTAGAATTGTCAGTATTACATAAGGCTTTGGGTTCTCAAGGTTGAACCTCACACCTTGGGATGTTCCCACTTATACTAACAGTCCTTCATAGGGAGTATCATCGGGGGTACTTTGATTCCTACTAAGGGCTGGTAGTATGAGGGGGAAGATCCCAACTCAAACCCGAAACCTCAAAACCCTCGACCCTCAACCCTAAACCCTAAACCCCGACCCTGCCTCGCTCAAGCCTGGCTGGCATGTGGGCTCGTTCCATCTGAGTTCGCCGAGTCGGGGAGACCGTGGCGAACGCCGGGCCTATAGCCCAAGAGGGCTTCAGGACTTCGGATGTGTATGAACTTAACTATCGGGGTTTAGGGTTTAGGATGTTTATGAGGGTATAAACTTCATTATGGGGATTTAAGGTTTAGGATGTTTATGAGGGTATAAACTTAATTATAGGGAGTTTAGGGCTTAGGATGTTTATGAGGGTTCAAGTATAGGAAACGCAAGGCTTTCAGGGGCATGGTTCTCTGAAGTCTGTTCCGTTTTGGGGGTTGCTTCTGTACTACAGAGCCTTAAACTTTAGGTGTCCACCGGCCAAGCCAGAAACAGCGGCCGCGAATCCCCCAAGAGTGTTGGACTTGCGCCTTTACACAACAACCCCTCAAGGCCTTCGAATACTAGCACAATAACGTGGGAGTATTGCCGTAAATGGACTATATATTCATCCTAATGGGAACATCAATATCTCTATTGACTACAGTAGGGTCTTTGTACAGGGGAGTAGATTCCCAGCCATCGACCCCATGCCCCCCCATACTCCCCTCAGCACCTTAATAAGTAAAAATACTCTTACATGTGCATCTCCTTGGGTTTTAATAAACAAAGAGAAAGATAACACTAAGGAAGCTATAGTTCCCCAGATTGCCCCCCTAAACCCGAAAACCTAAACCCTAAGAAATATGACGAACCACGGCCCTCCTCGTGCCCAGGCGAGGATGCCACCCAGCAAGCACGCCCTGATGACAGAGCCAAGCACACACTCGGGCGGGATTCATAAGGGGTTTAGGGTTTAGGGTTTAGGGTTTAGGGTTTAGGGTTTGCCTAAGGATCGCTAGAGTGTAATCAGGGATTCGCTGGGGCGTCCAACAAGGTCAAGGTTTACTAGGGTTTTGCTTTGCATCAGCTGTAGGGTTAACAAGGGCAAAAATGGCTTGAAAATAGGTTCAATAGGGTTTCACAAGCCCTATAAAGCCTCTCAAAGCCTGCCTCGAGAGCTGCTCGCGAGGGTAGCAGGTGCAAGGTGCCCTCATGGGGCTTCTCAGGGCAAGTGTCTACTCTCAAGGCTGTTGACCTCCCCCCCCACCCCCACCCCTCCACCCCACCCCCCCCCCCTTCTCCACGCTGCGCCGCATGACTATCTTAGTTATCTTCTTTGCAAGATGGCCTTGTCCGGAACGATAATAGCGTGCTGCCGATGCGATGACCGCGGCCCATGAACGCGCTCTACATGGGACAAAGCATGATACTAAACACGAAGCAGCCTTTAGGGTTTAGGGTTCAGGGTTTAGAAGAAAATCCCTCCAAAGGAATTCGCACACAGTGCCCTGCACCACGAATCTAGGAACTCAGGTTTAGTAGGTATCTGGCACTCGCTGTGCGATCCAAGACAATTGCGGGAAGGCAGGTCAGCAACAACTGCGACCTTTCACGAGGTTCAATAAAGGTTTTCTGGACATGCTGGGCATCTTAAAGGAGGGGTCTGGGCAGGATTCAGGTTTGGATTCGGGCACTTGCCTGACGCCCACATGCGGCCGTAACCCCCTAAACTTCGGATCGGAAGACTTTTTGATCACTTGCTGCTTCAAGCGTGCCCTGTGTGGAGTCACAGACCCAGCACCCGAGGCACAGCAGAGAGGACGTGCTGCCTGACCTGATTACGTGATTGCGTACTTCGCAGGTCGTGTGTCCCCGAGTCACTCAGTGCAGCCCCAAGCAGGCCGAAACACCCCTAAATCGTCCCAAAACCCTAAACCCAAAACCAAAACTGTAGCGAGCTGCGGGCGCTGCGATGAGCAGCAGCGTGCGTGCTGGTGGCGACAGCACCTGCCAGCTCCGGCGACAGTCGCAGCGAAGGAGCTCCGCTGGCTGCACCGCGCACGACAGGCGTGCTGGAGCAGGCGAGAAATGATGACCCTAAACCTTTGGGTCGGAACGGGAGAGCCCTTTAAGATTTCGGATTTAGTTTAAGATTTAGGATTTTCAGGGCCCTTTCTGGGATTCAGGATTTAGGGTTCAGGGTTTGGGTTTAGGATTTAGGATGTAGGGTTCACACCAAAGGCCTCCAAGGACCTTCTTGACTCTAAGGCCTCAAAGGCGCCACGTGCGTTGGGCTTATCGGGCCCGGCGTCGCGCGCGCGTGACGCGCGTCACGCGTCTCTGCGACGAGGCCGGGGGGAGCGTCCTGGGGCGCCTTTTTGAGAAAATGGAAGCCCACCCGAAACCATGGATTTCTGTACTGAGGAACCGCAATTTTGGTGCCTCGAGAACTTGATCTGCGGCAGCCCGGTCCCTAAACCTTGGATGGGGCTGCAAGTGGTCTAACCTCAAACCATCGATTTTTCTACTAAATTTCGAGATTTGTTGTATGGGTCCGGGCAAATCCTGGGATCCCTCCCTTTTCGGGCCTGGGAAACCCCTACGGCATCTGCGCCAGACCATTCCCTAAACTTTGGATATATGGAAACCCGACCAAGGTAATAAATTGGGTGGGCGGGTTGGGAAGGACCGTGACCTTGGCGCACACCACAGCACACGTCCCGCGTGCTGGTGGTGTGCGCGGAGCATACGACGCACCCTAAACCCTACACCCTAAACCCTAAACCCTAAACCCTACACCCTAAACCCTAAACCCTAACCCTAAACCCTAAACCAAAGTTTGAAGGCTGCCCAAAGCAGCTCCTTTCTAGGATGGCCCTCATAAAAAAAAAAAAACCTCTGAACAAAATTGCTAAACATGATCCTCTTAAACCAAATAGTAGGATTCCCTAAAAAAAGGATCCCAAACAGGCACCCTAATTTCGGGAACCACTATCTAAACGAAACAGGACCCTCTGAATAACCCTGTCAGAGAAACTAAACCCTAAACCCTAAGCCCTAAACCCTAGACCCTAGACCCTAAACCCTAAACCCTAAACCCTAAACCCTAAACCCTAGACCCTAAACCCTAAACCCTAAACCCTAAACCCTAAACCCTAAACGCTAAACCCAAAACCCTACACGCTTATTTTTTAGGGATATGGGCACTGAGCCACCAACCAGGAGTGACTCGAGGGCAGCGCCGAGGACACGTTGAAAAGATGTGCACACCGCGCCCCACTTTGATGGGTTTAGGGTTTAGGGTTTAGGGTTTAGGATTTAGTGTTCAGAGTGGTTCTACAAGAAGCTTTAGGGTTTACCTTGCTGGGATGGTGGGCAGCGATCTCTGGCCACTCCCACAGGGACGAGTTTAAAATCTCAAAGGCTTCCCTGCCGAAGTTCTGGGGCTGAGGCACCGCCGCAGAAGCCTCCCTAAAAGGCTCAGGGTTTTTTGGGGTGCCAGGTTTTAGGGTTTTGGGGGTTTAGGGTTCTTGGGGTTTAGGGTTTTTGGCAAATTCAGGGTTTGGGGTTTTTGGGGTTTAGGGTTTGTGGCCAAGTACTTCTAAGCAGGTGGTGGTTCATACCCACAAAACATGTTTTTTTTAACACTCAGATCCTCAAAATTTTTGGGTCTAAAGCTTCCCAGGCAGGCGCTTGCAGAAGCAGCTGCGTACTCTAGAGGCCTTACATAATTAGAGTAGGTTTTTCATTTAATTTTCATTTTTTGTTATTACTTTTTTTTTTTTTGGGGGGGGGGGGGTTGTTGATAGTATACTTATGACATAGGGACCATAAGGGCAATATGATTGCGTAGGGACCATAAGGGAATACTATTTTCTACGGACCATAAGGGAATACTACTAGTAACTGTTCCGACCCCTATGTTACTGCATTCCATTGCCGGACCTCCGTCCCATCTCAGGCCGTCTCCAGCTGCATCTCATGATGGATCACCTTGACCTGAGAATCAGCAGCATCTCCGGCGCTGAGGTTTTTGTTCATTTGTTCAGGTGGTAGGTTCTTGTTAGGGTCTGAACCCCTAAGCCCTAAAAACCCTAAAAAACCCTAAAAACCCTTAAGACCCTGAAACCCCAAAAAAAACTATAAACACCGTAAACCCTGTAAACCCCATAAACCCCATAAAACTCCATAAACCCTATAAACCCTAACTAGACACTTTTAAAACCCTAAAAAGAACCCTAAAACCCGGGTACACCTCTCTGCTCAAGAAGCGCGTCACGAAGCTCCCGGGGGCCCCTAAACACTAAACCCTAAAACCCTAAACCCATCTAAACCCATCTAAACCCATCTAAACCCATCTAAACCCATCTAAACCCATCTAAACCCATCTAAACCCATCTAAACCCATCTAAACCCATCTAAACCCATCTAAACCCATCCAAACCCATCTAAACCCTAAACCCGAAACCCTAAACCCCAAACCCTAAGCCCTAAACCCTAGAATAGGGTGCTGAGGGCCCGGACGGCCGGCAGGCCCTTGGTGGGGCACGGGGGCTCGTTCAGGTTCACACCTCGGCTCGGTGGCATCCGTTTAGGGGTCAGGGTTTAGGGTTTAGGATTGAGGGTTTAGGGCTTAGGGTTTTGGATTCAGGGTTTAGGGTTTAGGGTTTAGGGTTTTGGGATACACGTGAACCAAGAAAACTCGACTGCATCCACTCTTGCAGACATCTGACAGCGACTAAGTCTTCATGCCGCTGCATGATGACCGGAGGAATGCGAGCTTGCGACATGCTGTACTCTTTCTCTACAATACTTCTTAGCTGCGAGATAGCGGGCTGTTCTCGAGCCATTCTTGCCCAGACATGCACACGACTTGGCGACACCTCGTCGCATGATGCTGCATAATTACCCTCTGCAAGTGGTGGCATCCCTTTACCGTCTTCAGGCTTCCTTTAAAACACACGCCGCGGCACAGGCGAGGACGAAGCAGATGGCCGACAGCACGCAGCAGAGGGCGATGAGCCCCGCCGCCGCGGCGCGGCGCCAGGGGCGCGCGGTGGGGCCCACGACCTACCCAGCAAGAAGGGAAGAGCGGCTCCAGAAACCTTGAGCAATATTGAGCCCGTGGTGAGGGCTTGGGGGGGGGAAGAATAGGGCAGAGTTAGGGCACATTCAGGGTTTGGGGTTTGGGGTTTAGGGTTGAGGGTGTAGGGCTTAGGGTTTGGGGTTTAGGGCTGAGGGTTCGCTGCATGTCGCTCCCCCGGCCTTGTACCAGAAAAGCGCAGGCAGGATGAAGGCTATGAGGAAGCTTACCTCGGAGCTCGGATCGTCCGCCAGCGGACGAGCATGACACTAGAATGATCTACCCTACATCCCCCTACACATACCCTTTAAGGGATTGTGTCGGGTATGTACCCTATTTTCCCTCATTTTCTACTAGGAACCAGGGGGTAGCACTGGGTGTGCGTGAAGGTCTGACTCCACGGCCAAGGCTCTGTGCTGCCAATCACGGACCAAACGACCATGATGCTCTTCATGACACAGCTCACAAGCAGAGATGTTCCCAGCAGAAGGGTTGTAAGCACCTGGGGTGCCGCACATGGCGCAAGTGAACAGCTGAGCAGCTCTCCAAGATGTTTAGGTGCAGGGAACTTGTGGCTTGGAGCACAGCCACTCCCCAGGCCGAACTCCCGAAAATCCCCCAACTCTCCCCCTTTTTTATAAGCCGCATGCTGCACAAGCTTAGTGCCTGTGCTCAAAGGACTTCCTTCAGGGAGCCTAGGCACGCCCTGCTGGTAGTGGAGCCCACCAAAGACCGAAAGCGTCCCCCGTCCCTCATGAGGAGGCTTTAGGGTTTAGGGTTTAGGGTTTAGGGTTTAGGGTATAGGGTTTAGGAGAATTAGGGGGAGGAGAAACTTTCCAGGGGATCCTTTCTATTTCACAAGCAGAGCAAGGCAACCTTGAACCTAAACACACCAACACACACAACACAGACCCGTGCTACACCCTACCCGGCCATGCCAAGCCTCGACCCCTAAACTCTGCGAGGGCTTAAACCCTAAACCCTAACCCCAAACCCTAAACCCTGAACCCTAAACACTAAACCCTAAACCCCAAACCCGAAACTCTGACAGGGCTTTGGGAACCACAGGTCTGTTTGAAGCCGGCGTGCAATTCTTTGGCAGCTGGTGGGCTCAATAGCGCCCTGCTGCATGGCCTCTTCTTTGGGAAGGAAGGTGTCGAAGACGTGCCTGAAGGTCGGGAAACTCAAAAAAAAGAGGGAACCCCCCTCCCCCCCTGCCAGGGGGGGGGCCCCTCATTTTGAGAGGCCCCTGTGGTTATAGACATGCGCCTATGGCTTGCATGGGGGTATACATCTGGACAACCCCAGCAAACCCAGCACCCAAAACCCTGCGCAAGAAGATACATAATTTGGGTTGAGTGAAATCTCGAGACTTGCAAGGCGAGCTGCACGTCAGCTGCGTTCCTCCGCAACAGGCAAGTTTCTCGACAAGCTGCGGGCGAAGGGAGACATGTCGTTGAGTCGAGTGCGAGGATGATGTGCATAAACGCACGACACGGCAGGGTTCTGCCCTGATAAGTTACGAAGAACCCGGCCCACACCCTAAGCCCAAGCACTTGGACACTTGGACTTGGGTGCCTTAGGCCTTAGGCAAGCTCATGCAAGGTCTCCTTGCACCGCCATTCTCACTGCGACCTCCGCGAGTGTCCTGCTGGCGGCGTGCAATACAGGAGCCGAAAAAAAAATACCCGTCTCATCCCCTCACTAACACAAGCCATAAACCTGAGATGCCCCACTCAATACTATTTCAGCACTGCTGCTACAGCAACGTGATAAGAGTTCGCCGAAGGCGATTTCGGCACAGCTCTCCTGGCGGAGGTAGACGTGCACGCACGCCTGAGGAGGTGACGATGGTGCGGAGGACTGCCTCGAAGGGGAGGAGGATCGCTGCCTGCAACCCCAAAGGGTTTAGGGCTTAGGGTTTAGGGTTTGGGGGGGTTCCCGAGACTCATAAATCCAATACAAACTACGGACACCCCGGAGTTTTGGCTTGGGGCCAATCCAGTAATTAAAGGGATATTTGCAAGCCACAGCTAAGAAAGCCAAAAAAGTGTTCTTCCGCAGATGTATTGTGGATATGTTGCATCAATTTAGCGCATCGTTTTTGCAGCTGTGTTGCCTTTCAGGGCTGCTTTGGTTGCACACTGTTTGCAGAATTGTTGCAGATTAATACGTTTGAACTGAAAAACTGCTTCGATTTTGAAGCACACGGAATACATGAGAAAGTGCGTAAACCTGTGCACAAAGCATGACAGACGTAAAGCATGCGCAACACGTTATGCGAACAAAAATGTGCAACACTTCAGCAGAACTGACTATTTCTGAGTATGCATTCGTTGGCTCTGATCATCATATAACCCGATGACCCTGAACCCTAAACCCTAAACCCCAACACATAAGCTCAGGCTCCAGGTGCACCTGCCACTGAAACCTTTGTCCCAAGTACCATTTGGGTACTTTTGGGGGGTTTGGGTTATGGGGTTTATAGAGGTTTACAGAGTCAGGGCTATGTTGCAAAGAACTCTAGGGTTTGCTGGGTGATCGCCAGCCAGCCACAAGGCTCCTCAAGCATTTTTGCTTGCCCAAGTCGCAAATGCAAAGAAACAACAGTCTTATCAAACAGCGGCGGCAGGAAGGAACAACAACCGGCAGTTTACTCTTCCTGCAAAGGAACCAAAACGCTCGTTCTACTCTTCAGATATGAAGGCTGTTCGCCTTTTTCTTGTTCGAGCCAAACAAACTTACCTTGATGCTTCTTAAGAAAGACAAAAAGCTCGCAACTCTTCTTGAGAGATAACAGAATTCTCTTCAGAAGCAAGAAAGACCCTTCATTTCTTTAGAAAGCATCGTCTGTTCTTCTTGCGGGACATGAACACATCTTCCTCTAAGGGGGCTACTATGATAAGGTCTTGGGGGGGGTTATTACTGCATTCAAATTCTAAAGGGACCTTAGGGGAATACTAGTAGCCCCGATATATTAAGGGGACAAGGGGAGCATGCTGGCCTCGAGAGTCTCGGATCCCCCACGCTGACGCGCGGCAGCCGCTCCGCCTGCCCCACTTCGTTGGTGAGGTCGTTCGTTGAGGTCGAAACGATCTCCATGCTGAAGGAGCCAGAGCTGTTCCTTTTTTGCATGTGGATGTAGGATGTATAGGGTTCAGGTGGTTCTCCATGATAAGGGTCCTTTTGAGGGGTCCCTGTATTTAAGGCGCTGTACTATGTAGGGACTCAAAAACTTAAGGGAACCTAACTTAGAGAACGACTCATGCTGGGCTCCGGGGTTGAACTGTGCACGGATGCAGTGCAGGCTCCATCTCACGGGCGTTCGAGGTGCTAGGTTCTCAAATTAATTTAGGAGCAGCAAGTAATTATGGGACATCCTCTTTCATCTCTTGAGGTTTGTAAGGGAACCTTTCTTACTTAGACAAAAAAAGGGAGTCCTGGGCTCACTCCAAGCAGCTCTCGGGGGCCATCGCTTCCCTCCGGGAGCGGCGGCTCGGCCGCCTTCACGCAGCCGGAGCCGCTCAGGAGCCGGAAGAGCGCGTTCCGGCACGGCTGGCAGATGAGGGGGAAGTTCAGCATCAAGACCTGGCCCAGCTTGGGGGCCCCCAGGCAAAGTTCCGCAGAGCTGCCCCCTGGACCTGCCTAAGAAAAAAAGGGGTGTGTATAGCGCATGGCATCAGAGGAAGCGGCAAAAGGGCCGAGGTGCGTGAAGCAAGAGAAAGTGTGATAAACTAACTATCGCACTGACACTGGGCCAGGCGGACATTCTATCGCCAGTGGTCCCGTAAACCAACTTCTTCCTGCAAGCGAAATGATGGAGTACCGACTCTGATAAAAGCTAACACCCCGATCAAAACTTAAACCCTAAATTCCGAAACCTGCGCTAGGGATTAGGGTTTAAGGGTTTAGGGCCCAATGAGCACTGACCACCCAAGACCTCTGTCTTTACCAGGCCGGCCCTTGAAACCCTTCTGGAATACTTCTATCATCAGGCCCACTGGAACCCAGTAAGATCCAGTAAGGGAAGCTGCATAATATGCAAGGGCCCATCCAGTATCAGGAGCCGCAATCCTAGAACCCCCTAAACCCTAAACCCTCAACCCGAAACCCTAAACCCTAGAACCCATGAAGCCCGTGTTAAAAGGCACGAGCTCTGGGGCGGACCATACCGAGGGCGACTCTGGCCACGTTGATGAGGTTGTCCTCCATTTCAGGCGTTTCGGGCTTCATCCGGATTACGACTTTAGGGTTTAGGGTTTAGGGTTTGGGGTTTAGGGTTTAGGGTGTCCCTACTTACTATCTAGCGAACCACAGCCAAGGGAACGGGCTTGGGATAATCTTGTTATCGTTGCCAGGGATAATCTTGTTATCATTGCCAGGAATTCTGAGGGAAGCTCTTCTGGGTTCAGCGAGCAGTTGAACTTCGTTAGTATGTAGGGCACAGTTTTTTGAAGGTTCAGGGGGTAAGGGTACATGGAGGGTTGAAGGTCACCATTAAGTCCTAAACCCTAAACCCTAAACCCTAAACCCTAAACCCTAAACCCTAAACCCTAAACCCTAAACCCTAAACCCTAAACCCAGACCACTCCCTTCCTCCGAGGGGAAGTTCAGGAGGACGTTGCCGCAGGTGTAGCAGCCAGCAAAGATGTAGCCACAGATGCTGACGAAGAGGTATATCAACTCGGAAACCAGGATTTCGTGTTTTGTTAGGATTTAGGGTTAATAGGGCTTAGGGCTTAGGGTTTAGGGTGTAGGTTCAAACCAGGTGTCTACAAAAATGCTTACAACTTCACGCCCGAGTCACCACAGCATCCACACTCCAGCACCCTGAACACTGAAGACCCCAAAAAGCGCCCCAAAAGTCAGTTCATGTTCGAGCTTCTGAACAACCCCTACACTCCCTCAAGGCTGCGAATCAAGGGGCCGAGGTCAGCGTGAGAGTGACGAGGATCACCCGCCGCATGCGATGGCGTGTGGGCCGGGCCAGCTCTTGGTGTGTCGGCAGGGCATTGAAGTGGCACCTCGGCCACTTGACTGCTAAAAAAAAAAGTAAGCATACTACTCCTCCCAATTTAGCAATATGGGAAAATCTGTTTCCCATGTTGAGTCGTCCGCAAGCCCCCAACTCTCGTAATTTTCAGTGCCTAAACCTTATACACCGACTTCGTTTACTTGAACCTTGAACCTGAAACCTGTCTTGGGTTTAAGAGGCCGCATTGTGACCGAGACCCGCCAAGGGTGGACCTTTTTTCAGGGTTTGGGGTTTACGGATGCAGGAGCTTCAATTTCGCAAGAGACCAGGGCTTAGTTTTTGTTTTTTTTTTTTTTTGGGTGGGGGGGGGGGGGGGGGGGGGGGGGGGGGGTTGAGGGTTTATGGGGTCCAGAACTTACAAGGTTTACCACCATCCTCTCCCTCCAGTGCGGAGTCCCTCAGAGCCCAAGGCACAAAAAGGAGACCCCAAAGATGGGAAGAGCGTAGAGCGCCTTTGCCTTGGATTTTCAGAAGCAGGGTCTAGGGTTTAGGGTCAGTGGTCTCTCGTTTTTGGGGGAGGGGGGAAGGGGGAAGGGGATGCTGCTGCAGAAGTTGCCGATGGAACGGTGGGAGCCCTAAATCCTACATAAACCCTCGACCCCGCCCCCATTGGTCGGAAAAGGCAGAAGATCTCCAAGTTGCCCAGTCCTCCGGCCACAGGTTGTAGTTCGGCATCACCTGCACGTTAAAGAGAATAGGGTTTGCAGGGTTTAGGACTATTTAGGGATTTCAGGGTTAGGGGTTTAGGAGCTGCGGTTTAAGAGAAGAGGGTTTATAGGGTTTAGGGATTTCAGGGTTTAGGAGAACAGGGTTCATAACTTCCAAGTTTATTGGGTTTAGGGATTGCAGGGGGTAGGAGAAACTGGCTGCAAGTGCTCCCCCCGACCTTCGGAGGGGGGGCGAAGCGCCTCTCCCCGTGAATAAGGTTTAGGGTTTAGAGGGATTTCGGGTTTAGGGATTAGGGTTTAGGGTTGGGGGGGGGGATGTAGGGTTTAGGGATTAGGGTTTAAGGTTAGGGGGGGGGGGGGGGGGGGGATGTAGGGTTTAGGGTTGAGCGGCCGAAATCGAAGATGCCTGCAACTATCTGCAACTCGTCGTCTTGGGACACCCAGCCTCACCACTCTTTGGGGCGCCCTGGGATTCCCATCAACAAGTGGGTAGTTCTCTAGATTCCTAAACCCTAAACCCTAAACCCTAAACCCTAAACCCTAAACCCTAAACCTAAACCCTAAACCCTAGATGGGGGTCCCTTTTGGGGTCCCCTAACATAGTGCGGCACCGTTACAAGACGGACTCCAAAAAGGGACCCCACATTTAAACACACTACCCAAGTAATGGCGTCAGAACCGGCCCTTGATGTCAGATCTCTAAGGCTACCAGCTCTCTAAACCCTAAACCCTAAGCCCTAATCCTTGAACCCAAAACCCGCTCAAGACGTCCCCTCTGTCGCTCTATGCATGCCCCCTTGCACCTGCACCATACGGTTCAGGTGACTTGGCATCTGGACCTGTCAAAAAGAAGCTTCTGGTTTAGGGTTAAGGGTTTAGGCTTTAGGGTTTCGGGTGTCGCGCAATCTATGTCATCTATGTGGGACATGCACCTGTATAAGGGCCTGAAAAGCCCCTGTCAGTGTACGCCACGACACACAGAACCCCTGCGTCCCAAGGGCCTCCCAGCACCCAAAGCCAACAATAGATAAGTTTAGGGTTTAGGGTTTAGGGTTTAGGGTTTAGGGTTTAGGGTTTAGGGTTTAGGGTTTAGGGTTTAGGGTTTAGGGTTTAGGGTTTAGGGTTTAGGGTTTAGGGTTTAGGGCCCAGTTTGTGCAAGAACAAAGCGGCGCGGAAGCAGAGGGATGCTTGTCGGGGTAGCCTGCTCCAGGCCCAAAAATTTCTGCGACCCCGAAGATCTTGATCAGTGGAGTTGGGGTTTAGGGTTTAGGGTTTAGGGTTTAGGGTTTAGGGTTTAGGGTTTAGGGTTTAGGGTTTAGGGTTTAGGGTTTAGGGTTCAGGGTTTAGGGTTTAGGGTTTAAGGTTTAGTGTAGACCCTAAACCCCAAAACCCCAAAACCCTAAACCCCGACGGCTCCGAAGGTGGAGTCTCGCTCCCCGCCTGGATGGTGTGCTCGTGCCCCAGCGACTCGAAGGCACGGTAGCCAACCACTGCACCGACCACGATCACCTTGGGGGGGAAGGGGGGGGGGGGGTGATCGACAGTATATAGTTTCTAGGGGCCTAAGTAGCTAGAACAGGGTTTGGGGTTTGGGGTTTAGGGTTGTCATCTAGGGGCCTTCGGAATTAGAATAGAGCCTGGGGTAGCATTAAAAAGGGACCATGAGGGAATACGATTTGCGATGATTTCGACCCCTAGACTAACCTGAACCCTTCCCAAGCACCCGATATTGCCCGAAGCCACCCCCGACCTCATAGGTTTTGAAAAGCCTCAGGTTTGCGTAGGTTTAGTAATTAGTTTAGGGTTTAGGCGTTTTAGGGTTCAGGGCCCGGCCCACAAAAGCTGAGCTAGGAATGGTTGAGGAGCCCTAGCCAGAGACTCCAGTGTCCCTTGATTTTCGGGAAGATTATAGCAGGACCCCACTCTCATTTTGAGGGCTTTTCCCTTAAACCCTACGTAAACCCTAAACCCACTTAGGGGATAGTGGAGCCTTCCGGGACCCTGATCCCGTCACCCGCTGTCCTTCAGGGAGCCGCCTCTGCAACGGTTTCTTAGGGTTTAGGGTTTAGGGTTTAAGGTTTAGGGTTTAGGGTTGAGGGTTAGGGGTTTAGGGTTTGGGGTTTAGGGTCTGGGGCTCTACTGTACCGGGCACCCCGACGCTGGCGACGCTCGCGAAGCACATGAAGCGCAGGGCGGAGAGGCTGCCTTAGGTTGAGGGGCCTATAGCTCTCTGTACATGGGGTTTTAAAAGTAGGGGTACCCTCTTTTCATAAGGAATCCTACTATTTGGGTTTTCATTTTTGGGGTCCCCTATTTTTGTACACTCCCACATCGAACTTTTGCATTTGTACACACACATTTTGGTGTTCGCTGCATTTCTTCTTTCCTTGTGCTACTGGGATGTTTCTTGGATTTGCTCTGTTTCCGGGGGTTGGTTGTATTTGGGTGCTTCGGCCTTTCGGCATCCTTCCGTGATGTTTACGGTCAGTCCAGCTTGTTGCGTTCTTTTGTTATTAGAGGGTGGCCCCCTAAAGGTCTCATCTTTTAAAGCCATCAGAATCTACATCCTTAGCCTTCGCTGCCTGCGTACAATGGATCCCGCAATATCGACAAGTTGGCAGAAACAACGGCTGCTCCTGTAGCCTAAACCCTAAACCCTAAACCCTAACCTTAAACCCTAAACCCTAAACCCTCAACCCCAAACCGGGAAGCGCATCTGGGAGTTCGGAGTTGTTGGGGCTTCGGATTTCGGGTTTGGCTTCATCGGATACAGGGCTCCGCCCTCAGCAGGTGTCTGTCGGGCCGAGCCCAAAACTACAATCCTAAACCCTAAACCGGAAACCCTAAGCCCCAAACTCTAAGCCCTAATGAAATCCCAAAATTCATGGTGGCCAAGGTTCTCCTGAAGCACATGGGCGAAAGGAACAGAGCGGCGACGCAAACAACCTGAATCGGAGAGTCATGCGCAGCGCGAGGGTTTAGGGTTTAGGGTTTAGGGTGTAGGGTTTAGGCTTTAGGGTTTAGTTTTTAGGGTTTCGGGTTTAGGGCCAGACACAGAAGTGTGGTACATGACGATGGAGAGACAAGGCTGATGTGGCACAAAAAAATCCCCCCCGGCACACCCCCCCAAACCCCTGAACCCTCAAAACCACCAGGGCCCAAGGCAATCCGCCGGGTCGTCTCCGGAGTGTAGGCCGTGCGTAAGCCGGGCCTCGAGCAAGAGGGGGGATTTTGGGGTTGAAGGTTTAGGGGAACGGCTTAGCATTGGGGTGGCCCGTAGACTCAACCCCCTATGATGATGGTTTTGGGTGGAGCTTGCGGATGTTCTGCAGCCTAGTCGCGTTTTCGGGTACAAGCACTTTACTTCATTTCGAGCTGGGAGGTTGCGACAACTTTGCTGCTTGAGGCACCGCAGCAAGCTTAAGTCTTTATCTGCATTTATCTGCATTGCCCCTCCACCTTGTGCTGACAGCACAAGACGCCCCCCCCCCCCCCCCCCCCCCCCCCCCCCCCCCAAAAAAGAAAACCCTAAGCCCTAAGCCCTAAACCCTAAAACCCCCGATGCAGCTGCTAGGTCCGACTCAAGGGCTGACGGATTGTCACTGAGAACCTTGAATTTCAGGAGTTTAGGGTTTAGGGGTTTAGGGTTTAGGGTTTAGGGTTTAGGGTTTAGGGTTTAGGGTGAGTCACAGACCTGGGTGATGTTGGGCTTTCTCCAGGCTCATGCCTGAGAGGAGATGCGCCTTCGTTTCATGGTGGGGCTGTGACCTCAGGTCCGTGACCTCAGCATGCCCCCCCGGCGAACTGCGAGCACCAGGGTCGTGGAGAAACGCTTGTTGTGCACGCCGTTGCGGGCATATAGCAATCGCACGACCTCGACGGCCTCGTTGCAAGGCTTGCGCTCCTCATTCGTAGCACCCTGCTGCATCGCACGGGGTGTTAGCCGGACTCAAGGTTCAGGGGGTAGACCTTGCAAACTAAAATGAACCCTAAGATTCCCTAAACCCTAAACCCTAAACCCTTAACCCCTAAACCCTAATTCCTGAAACCCTTCACTGCCACGCAGAACATTCTGAGTTGCATGCGCGATCAGCTCAGCCACTGGCACCTGAAGATTCAAACTTATGCAGGCCTGGCTACAGTACCATCTCACGAAACGCCGAAACTTACTAATTACGAGTAGGGTTTAGGGTTTAGGGTTTAGGGTTTAACAGACTGAACACACACCTTCTACCTGTTTGCCAGCGGGTTTTTGAGGTCCTGGCCAAGAGATCGGTGAGCAAGACAAAGTAGGCGATCTTCGTCAACCAGCAGATCATGAAGACCAAGGCCTTCAGGACAGTTGCGTGAGTGTGAGCTAATCGTCAGCATGCTCCCACCGAAACTGGCATAGGCGGGTGCATGGCTCAACAAAGGGCCCATGCAAATCAACAGCTTCTCTAAGTGCTGGGCGATCGTCGCCTGTAAGTGCAGAGCAAGCATGACAAGCCCACTCAACTTTCCATGTGTTCAAAGCAGCTTCCCGCGATTCTGCGTGTATCCATTGTGACGTAACATCCAGATACACTTACTGGTACACTTAATACGTGCTTTTAGTAGGCCGGAAACTGGGAGTGCATTCGAGTGCTATGCACACGAACCTTCTGGCTGACTTCGCCGAAAGCCGCGTGGCCCACCAACTCAAAGCTATCCCGGCCTTCTCATGCAGTACATGGTTTAGGGCTTAGGGTTTAGGGTTTAGGGTTTAGGGGGCTTCTTGGGGCAGATCCAGCTGAGCTTGAGATGCATTTGTCTTGCTCTAAGGCAGCTCTTGGCTGGCACTGCCAGCTCATTCCACTTCGCAGAGCCGTTGTGTGGCATCGAAGCAGGAAGGGGTGGCATCCACCCCCATTCCGGATTGGGATTTGGGTACTCTATCCTCCCAAAATCCCTCTTCTTTGTGATCCGCAGTGCGAAGTTGCTTCTGCGACTTTGCCCCAAACTCGACTACCTTTCCGACTTGGCTTTGAGGCTGCGACCTGTCGCCCTCGCGCAGTCCACAAGCATGGAGAGAGTCCACGCCTCATCGCACAGCTGGCCGAACACAACAGCATGGCACACAGCATGTCTTGTGGACATTGCTAACCATGCCAGATGTTGACCGCGGCGAAGTTAGAGGAAGAGGAGCGGCTGGAATTCTAAGCAAGCATGCAATTGGAGGTCGGAGGTTGGGACTTCCGGAAGCTGCATCAGCAGTCCAGATTCATGTCTATACTCCCCTTAGAACCTTAATAGCCTTAATACAAATAATATATATAATATCCTCTTGGGTGTTATATACACAAAAATACAAAACACTTCACAAGGGGGATATGGATGCAGATGGCGAACTCTGCAGCTTTGTACATCGGCGCCCTTCGCGCCTTGAATGCAACATCATGAACAAATTTTGGTTTTATCGGATGGTGGTGTTCAATATCATTGCAGCGGGCCTCCTGTGTGCGTCATAAGGTGAACTAGATGCTTGCATGGAACAACATCCAGCTCAACCGATCCTAGTCGTGAGCCTCTAGCCGAGTCCTGCTTCCCCACATCTTCATACGGAACGAACTGAGCATCAGTGCTCCAATAACCAGCGTGCTCACTTTTTGGGAAGCCTGAACTTGGTTGGGATGGTTGGCTGTTGGCTTCTCTTCGCACCGTAGTTCTTTCCGTATGCGGGTGTGTATTCCTGCCACAAACGCGCCCATGGCCAACTCGCTGCATTCTGGTGCCGTTCGGGCGTCATGCCGGAATGCAGACCTCCTTTGGGGTTGCCCAAAAAGCGACCCTCATTTGGGCTAATTATGTCTACCTATGGTTTGTTTTGGGGAGCTCTGAATATACGACCCCGTACGATGATATGATAGTAGGTACCCGAAATAGATCCTAACTTGTTATGTTAAGCCCTTAGGTAACTTCCAGAGCACTGACCACGTCTGCATTGGAGGGCGGTTCAGTTTAAGGGTGGAGGTTTTACTACACTCCCCTTAGAACCTTAACAAAACTAGTATTTTTAATATCCCTCTTGGGTTTTATATAAACAAAAAATAAATCCCAAGGGGGATTCAGGTTAAGGGTTTGGGGTTCCTGGCTGAGTCCCTGGCGCTGGCCACGGCGGAAAGCACCAAGCACATCGTCCCGAGCACCAAGCCGCACCTCAATAAAAACTTTGTTTAGGGTGTAGGGTTTAGGTTTAGGGTTTAGGGTTTAGGGTTTAGGGTTTAGGGTTTAGGGTTTAGGGTTTAGGGTTTAGGGTTTAGGGTTTAGGTTTAGGGTTTAGGGTTTAAGGTTTTTGTCCTAAGAGGCTCTTTGGGCTGCTTTGATGGTTTACGGTTTAGGGTTAGGGTTGTTGTGAGTACTTTTTGAGTGCTTCAGGTTTTCTAGAGATTCCAGGGGCTTTCTTCGGATGCGCTAAGGGAATTCAGGGCTTCAGACTTTTTTGGCGTTTGTATTGCTATTTGTTGTTATTTGTTTATGGGGTGTCGGGGTGCTTGTGGATTCTTGGATCATCAGGTTTCTAGATTTTCCGAGATTTTCAAGAGTGTCTAGCGCTTTCCTTTTCATTGATGTTTGAGGGTGTAGCGATGAGTTTATGGGAGTTTAGCCCCAAACAGTCACACGGTCCTGAATAGCCTGGCAAGCTTGACGTGGGGGTCCCTACGAAAGCGCGACCTTTGACCTTATCAATCCGAGGGCCAAGGGATGAAGACTCGCAGCCCCAAGATTATACCCCTAACGGTTCCCTTTCATGTACTCCGAATATGGCCCCTATGCTACCCTGAGGATCCAGTCCGCACCGTTCAAGTCCTATGGCACTTGGGATGAGAATCAGATGGTTTCCCTGGGCTTCTTCGATGAAGGCTAAACACTATACTAGGGCGGACGTCTTCTGAACCTCAGCGGAAAAAACTGTAGGAGATTCGCTGGCCAAAATGAATCGAGGGAAACGAGGGAGCTTCACCATGATCTCCTGTGACTAGACACTAGTCCTGTATACGTATATCTCTTGAGCAACGCTCACGGTCGGAACGCTCCAAGCGCTGAAAGGTCCCGGCTGGCTCATGGCAAAAGGTAGGGACAGGACGCCGCCACCTGGGCAGTTGCTAGGGCTGCCAGGGCGAGAGTTGAGGCACCTTGCAATCGAGGGTGGTTGCAACTGAGGCTCTCTGGTAACGACAGTTTCATTCACTCTCAGGGGTAGTTTCATGGTCCCTTAGTATGGGCCCTTAAAAGGGGACCCCTTCTATGCCTCTTCTATAATCTATGAAACCCAAGGGCCCACACATCAGAACCCGTTAACGCAGGTAAGGGGCCATATTGCGGGCCCGTGTGACCGTGTAGCTACCCTTAGATTCAGGCACCCAAAAGGGCCCCAAGCTTAGAACAGCCCCCCACCCCTTTGCCAAGGGATCTTGGCGGGTTTAGGGTTTAGGGTTTCGGGTTTAGGGTTTAGGGCTAGTAACGTCGCATCCGCAACAGCGCGGTTCCGCTGGTGGCTCCTTTTTTTGGTTCTGCTGACCGGTGGGGCACCCAACTGGCAGCCAGGTCAGCGAACCGAGACCTGAAGAAAGCTTCCTGCCCGATGAGATTCTTGGATTACTCATCTTATTACTATCTTATTCATATTACTAGTTTTATGACTAGTCCATGGTATTTACTACTATACTACAACATGACTATGTTGCTATATTGCTATGCTACGAAGTAACGATATTACTATGTCATCAGATCTAGACTCTGAAGAACTAAACCCACCGCCGCAGGAAGCATTTCATTCAGAAACAATTCCACCCGAGGCAACTTGTGTGCAGTATGTACAAACAGCACGTAGAGACACACGCCCAGAAGTCCAGCTCCCTCTTCGATCCTCATTTCCGAGACCAAAACTTGCCAAAGTCGTCGCAGATCGCATGTGCAAAGCTAGACAAAGTATCTTGTTGGAGTCTCCTCCCCTACAACACGTCGACCCTCAACGTAGCCCATGCCGAAGGCATGGGTCTCAGCCACGCCGAAGTGGACGCCGTACTCCCCCGCGAGGACGCCGAATTGTCCGTCCACGGACACGCGGGTGAAGTCCATGATGGACGGGTAGAGTGTGACGGTCGCAGTGGCTCCGGACTTGACATGAACCCGCTGAAATCCGAAAAGGATCTTCAAGGGCACGCCGTCCTTACCTGCAGAGGGTGGGGTGAGAAAACCGAGGACGACGTCGTCGGCGTCTCTGCTTCCCGTGTTGGTGACATTGACGACCTGACCGGCCGGATGGGAAACCGACCGAGGCACTGGACTAGGTTGAACTGTCTTGTCCCTACCCCAGGTGGACGAAGAATAGATTTCTGAATGCTGCCCAGACACGAACTCAGCAGCTCTGGACCAAGAAGTGCCAATCATGGCAGCCTCCACATCCCTACTGCGAGGGAAGACCTGGTTGGGGCCGTTCAGCTTTCCCAGCAGGCCTCCAAGAGCGTTCAGGGGCAGTGCGGAAGGCTGCTTCACGATGGCGTAGGTGAAGCTGGTGTACGAAAGCCCGAAACCGAAGGGGACGACAGCCTCACCAGTGTAGAATCGGTAGGTCCTCCCCGGATTGGCGCCTTTGGGGCATCTGCTCACATTGTGGTCGCTACAGTCCGGGCGCGCAAACTTGGAAGGGCCCGGGCGCATACCGAAGTCGAAGATGGAAATCTGGTCTTGGTAGGAGGACTTGTAAACCGTCTGGATGGTCCGTCCCGCAGGTGAGCTCTCACCAAAGAGGATCGGTGCCACCCCCAGCACGGCTACACTCGGCTGTCCCAGGTGCAGCACTGCACCGATCTTCGGGTTTGCCAGAATTGCAGACAAGTCGAGCGGCGTGGCAGTCATGGTCACCAGAATCACTGGCTTCTTGGCAGCTTCTGCGACCTTCTGAATGAGCGTCGCCTGCGCCGTCGTGAATGAGATGTTCTTTGCATCGTGACCTTCCGCGGACCAGGTTAGGTCAGTTCCCACTGCCAACCTGAGAATCTTCGTTCGAAGCACTAGACCCAAGAGTAACCCAGGAATAAATGGGTGCCCTTTTTTGGCTTAAAGAGGCTGATAAAGGAACCGAAACCCAAAAATAAGGAAATAAGGGCCTACTCTGGGTCCGAAAGCAAGAATCAGCCAGGACAACGGACATGACAGGTTGGTAGCGCAAGCCGAACCCCAAACATCCCGGAACCCAAACATCCTGCGCTGGTGCTAACGATTGCTACAGCCTGTATAACCTTTCAGCCGTTTAAATCCGGCAAGTGCTACAAACTTGTAATGCTTATATAGACCCTGCGAAAATTCCTAAAGAAGCCCGTCATCAACCCATCATCAAGCTCCTTTATAAGAACCGTTCTGAAACCCTTCATAATTCCATGAACCTACATAAACCTACACATACATGTATATGTATACATACAGAAAGAGTATAACACAGTATCACTATAAAGCGTATATAAATAGATAGACACATATTAAAGATAAACATGAAATATTTCAAATCAATGAACACAAATACATATACTACGGAGGCGTGTGTGTGTGTGTGTCAGTATAACATTTTCAGTACCTATATCCAGAAAAAGGCACATGTGGGGTGTCTATAAGTGCATAGAAAGTCTTTACCTGAAGGTGGCGGTCAACTTATGTGGTGTACGTTGGCACCCACGCCTCATGGACAACATGGATACGTAGCTTCGACAGAGCAAAGAATGAAATGTCACGATGCCTCAGGAAAATTATTCCACGCGATTCTACTAGCGCGGGACTAGCGTGATAATCCTCCTACACTTCATCACAAGATCGAGCTCTTCCGATTCAGGGGATGTCCTACATGCTGCGCTAACACGAGGTCATCACGTTTCGTGTGTGCCTTGTGTGTGCGCGCATTAGGGCACGCCTCATAGCAAAGAGGACAACCAATCTTGATTCCTTCAGCACCTTCTTGGACAATCTCCCATATACAACTTTAGAAGCACCTCAATGCGTCAGCCCTTTAGAGAAACCGGTAAAAGCCCAAACTGCCCTAAACCTTACACTTCTTAGCACTTCATCATTATGTTGACATGAAAGTCTACAGCCCTATTTACCTAAAACCTTTGACTTACATTAATCATATATATATATATATACATCATATGTATTTTTCTATACGCACATAACTTCTACTCCCTGTTAAGCCTTTACCTTCACCCCTTTGGCCCTAAATCCTTTACAGCCCCTGTAGGCCGGTGACACCACGGTGTCGGCTCCCCGAGCCACTTCCACGGCCGCCGGGATGCCGCTCTGATCTTCAGACAGGACGCTCCTTGAAATGCTGGGTTTAGGGTTTAGGGTTTAGGGTTTAGGGTTTAGAGTTTAGGGTTTAGGGCTTGGGGTTTGGGATTCTGGGGCATGTTCGGGTTCAGGGCTTGCTCTCCTTGCTTAGGGACTACGGGCTGGTTGTACTAAGAGTTTCCAGGTAGTTAGCAAAACAAAGGAAGTTCAAGAACCTGAAAATTTTGGGGTCGAAAGGGCTTACTAGGGCTCGAAGGAAGTTTAAGAACCTGAAAATTTTGGGGTCGAAAGGGCTTACTAGGGCTCGATTCGGGTCTAGGGTACAGGTTTGACTGAGAACTTCAGAGGGCTTGTGGGAACGGATCCTTAACATCCGAGATGCGGCACCCCAGGCGCACTGACCGTCTTGACCTTCCCCCCGCTGCTCAGAGCATCCAGGAGGGTGTAGAACCGATTTCCGCAGGGATGCTTTGGACCGTAGTATCCAGCGTCGCTCTGCGAGAGGTTTGTGTTCGGCCCGATCACGGCCACCGTGCCCACTGTCGAACTGTCCAGCGGGAGCGTGCCCTGCAGATTCTTGATCAGGACCGCACTCTGGCGAACTGCGTCCTGCGACAGCTTCAAGGCATAGTCGCTGCAAATTTCGTTCGTGGAGATACTGTTGAGAGGCCCTCGTGGATCGAAGTGTGACAGCCGCATGCGGACGCGGAAGAGCATCTTCAAACGTGCGTCAATATCCGCTTCTGTGATCAGCTGCTTATCCAGGGCAGACTGGGCATTCTGGGGCACAAAGGACACGCAGTCCACATCAGTGCCGGCATGGAGAACTGCCTTCACGGCCTCTTCAGCGGTTGCCGTGTAATGATGCGCGTTGAACACATCCTTGGGAACAGAATGAACACTCAAAGCTTATGGTTGTTCATGGCCCATAGGCTGCAAGCAACTCGGAATCAAAGTATATATATATAAAGATATTTTATAGGTATATATATATATATGAGATGTTCGAGGGTTTATTGATTCAATCGCCAAGAATCTGAGTCAGCATCGCAGTCGCTGGTGATGTAGCCATCGAAGCCCCAGTTGTCGCGGGCAACGGTCTGCAGCAGCCAGTCATTCGCGCACGACGGCACTCCGTTCACCGCGTTGTAGCTGCACATAAGAGACGTCACGCGGCCCTTCTCCACGCAGGTCTGGAATGGGCGCATGTACGAGTCAACCAAGTCCTCACAATGGGGCGCAGGCTCCGGCACTGCAAGCCCAATGCTTGAACCCCCTGAGCCCTAAACACCGCAGAAGCTGTGCAGCCCTGAACCCTAGGAAAGCCCCTACTGTCGCTAGGTAGCCTAGCAACCATATTCTAATAAGGGTACCCTTTTGGTTTTGGGTTGGTCACTCTTCATAAAGGATCCCCAGAACCAACCACAAAAAGAAGGGTCAAGGGGGTACCACTGGGCCACCCAGGTCAGCGCCCTCCAAAGGACTCACCCTCAAAGCCCCCGCCTGCATGGAGACCTCCGAGTCCACGTGCTCACGATCCTGGTGCCTTGATACTCCCCCTTAGAACCTTAACAAACATAGTATGTTTAAATATCTTCTTGGGTTTTATATGAACGAAAAGGAAAATAATTACCTTAATGAAAATAACATCTTTAAATTTCTTCTTGGGTTTTATATGAACGAAAAGGAAAAATAATTCCCAAGGGGGACATAGGTGCTCCCCATCGAGCTGGGTGGTGCTCTCCATCTCGTTGGCAACGTAGTGCTTGCAGCAGGCACTGGCCTGTCAGAAGCTAAGAGAAGGCAGGGGCAGGCAGACTGACATAACTATGAAAATGCTAATTAGAAGCTAACGCAGGTGGCGGGGCCCTAGATAAAAGTGCCCAAAATCCCAACGCAACCCGAAACAGCTTCAGTCATGCAGTTCTCCGCTCGTTGCTCCTGACACGTGTCCGTGTCCGTCCGGTACCTTTATAAGCTGCTAAGCCCATGAAGCCCAGGAAGCCTTAAACGGTATATGATAGGGGGGATACAAATGTAACTAATTCCCTCACTCCGAAGCAAGAACCAGTAGGCAAGAAGCCCCTGCGTCGCCTGGATGTGGGAGGGGTCTTCTGGCGCTTCCTGAAAGCCGCGGACGAAGTGCTCGGCGTACTCCCCTGTGAGGTAGGGGTCCTCTCCCGGAGTTTCGATGTTTCGCCCCCAGCGCGGCTCCTTAGCAGAGATAACCCTCCCAACCCCAAGGAAGGCTGAGTCCTAGAGTTTGGGCTTTAGGGTTTAGGGTTTAGGGTTTATATAGGGTTTGGGGTTTGGGGTTTAGGGTTGGGTAAACTGAAAAGTGCCCAGAATGCACACTGCGCTTTGGCATGTCTGCGGCAGAAAACGCCACAGTGTCAGTGCTCTATGGGGCTTCACGATATTAGGGCGTACCGTTTTGGGGTCCTGATTCTAAGGGTCTCCTAGTATTTGGGGGGTCCATGTCAGGGATCCCCTATTTTCGTAAACCCCCATATTGACATATGGGCGGTTTCCTAAATTAGGGTCCCTTTTTGGGTACCCATTATAAGGCGGCACCTTTGGAAGGGATCTCAAAAAGGTAGCTTGATTTAGAGAACTACCCATATGCTTGCACGGCAAAAGCGATCCTAAAGCCTGAGCTCAGGCAGGGCACCCTCGCCAGGTTGATGACGGGCGCCCAGAAGCTTGAGAAAGCTTGTCCCACATTCCTGGGCGGTTTAGGGTTTAGGGTTTAGGGTTTAGGGTTTAGGGTTTAGGGTTTAGGGTTTAGGGTGAAGCAGGAAAAACTTGCTTCCCTGAAGGGCAGGGGATGACCATCAGAAGCCCAACCCCAGAAATTTCGTAGGACATTGCTCTTCCTGGCATTCCTGTCAGGAAATGAGCAGGGATCCCTAGCTAGGGGCATCTACCCTCAACCCTAACCCCTAAATGCGTGAGGTCGGGTAGTTGCTTGCACTACGCTTTGGCTCCTCACCAGCCAAATGGTCTCGCACTTGTTTTCTGTACTGGCGTTCGCCTTCCGTCTCCGTCTCGTGCACCCGGGCGGTTTCCAGTTACGCTATTGCGCTTACTTCTAACCTATGGGTGACCTTCACTCTAAGGGTTCTTGAGCCAATGTGGTGAACAGGCCACGGCGTTCTAATGTGGTTTCCCCGATGTGCGGCGGAGCCGACACAAAGGGGTCCCCAAAACGTGCTGTGGTTCGGGGATGATTCACACCCCCCACGGCTGGGATTTGCAAAATGCTAGACGAAATTGCGTCACGAACATACAATGGTCCCAGTTAAAAGCGACTTAAAGTCTGGCCGTTCTCCACTGTTTTGCTCTATTTGCCCGAATTAATAGATGTGAGACAGACTTTCAGCTACTGAAGCGTTCAATCCCATCCTTTGTCTGTACAAAGACTTGCTGCTCACGGTTGCGGAATCATGGGCACGAAAGGCCCTGAAAACATGTCAGCAAATTGCTGATCCATCACATTGCGTCTCCAGAATGCATGACTGAGAAGCAGTAGCATCGGCCAGGTCAGCAGAGCATGACCCATACCCACTTGGCTACCACACGAGCTGCGAAGAATCGCACATTTCCCTCCAGCGGGCGCGTTGGCACATTGCCCCGCTGCTGCTATGCAGTGGCCGAAAAGAGAAATAGCATCGGTGGATATAATGACGTACTCCATCGTGTCATCTATTGCATCCATAGGGAAAAGAGGAATCAAAACTGAGATCGCAAAGTGCTGAGCCACAACCATATTTCAGGAATACCATGGATTCCAGGGGATGACGTACCGGAGGATCCGAGTACATCATTCACCCTTTCTTTCCCGATCCCTTTCTCGAATGACCGCGAGGATCTTTGGGAGCAGCTTGAGGTGTCCCAGGATGAGAAGTCTTGGGCTTCGGCTGACTCATGCGGGCCTTCGCTCGAGCCGGCATGTCCGTCTCATCCGCTTCAGGATGACGAGATCCTCCCGATGAGGTAACCGAAGGTGCAGATGCTGAAGGGTCATAGGCAAGGTACAAAGCCGACGCCTTTGGATTCTCCAAATACTGTGTGGGCTTCAACTTCAGGATGCTCATGTCCTTCTTTTGATCACTCAACCATCTGTCCAGCTTCTTGCTGTACTGGTTGGGTAGAGCGCACCCCGAATCCCTCATCACCAGAAGGTTGTTGACGCTCACCTTCTGCGAGTCCATCAAACTGAGCAGCTGGATCGGGTTGATGTATTTAAATGCCGCGTGGTACGGGATCTCAGCGTTGGGTTTCGTGTAGGAGTAAAGCCTCACGTTCAACACCTGATAGATGATTTTGGCCATGAACATGTGGACCCTTTGCCCGGCTTCAGCAAATGCTTTCGGGTCCTCGGCCTCATCCGGAATCATGGGGAGGTTGAAGCTCTCCTTGTTGTATCCCAGCTGGATCGCCCCACGCATGACGTAGAAGACGAACTTGTTGGCGTAATAACGCTCAATCATGAACTGCTGGTTCTCCACAGAGCTGGCATACTGCCTCACCTCGTCTTCCGTGAGGTCTCTCGGCAACGCCGTGTCCTCATCGATGGGGACAATAGGCCATGTCCCAGACGCGTCGTGTCTCATGCCTGAGGCGAACTGGTCCTTCATCTTCTTGTATGGAGTCATGATGATTTTCTCAAACAGATTCCATTTATGGACCAACACGTACGCAAAGAAGGCGTCGAGGTGACAGTACAACCTGAAGTTGTGGTCCACGCACGCTGCGTAGTCGGTGTCAATGTTGACATTGCACTCCAGCGCAAGGCGAGCTTTCCTCTCGTTTCGATCGTCCAACGAGTCGCCTTCCCTGTCTCCCACCAGCACGAATGCTCGCTGGTTCTGCGCATCCATCTCCACCTCTTCTTGGTTGGGAGCCTCCATCTCCACATCGCGGTACATGTCGCGAATCTCGTCGGGGATCTCCTCGGCCTCAGGCTCCGCCACGCTTTCCCGTGGACTGTTTGCCTCCACATCCCCTGCTGGATTCTGCACCCCGCAGAGCGGAAGCGCATCCTCCTGGACAGGTTCTGAAGGTGGCTCATCTTCCACTTCAATCTCCACAACCTCGTTGTTGACGACGGCAGCGGCCTGATTGAGCGCCTGGCGAACCACTTCCGGATCAATCCTTTCAGGTTCCGGATTGGCGCGCACATGCTGTATCCTCCCCATGGACAGGAAAACTCTCCCACGCGTGAGGCAAATCGCGAAGCTCGCAGGGGTATGTCTGCCGCAGCAGGGGCAAACCCTCAGAATCAGCGGATCGCTTGTGGTGGTGTGAGTCGTCACACGCCGGAATGTCCTTGAGAGAAACTGGAAAGCACGCTTGATGATGTTTCCAGGAACGGTGTCGCCCGCCTGCTCAATTGCTTGCAAGATCTCGCGCCTCTCGCCTTCATGCGGGCCAGCGTCGGTGCCTTCCATGGTGCTGACGAGGTCTTCCACCGAAGGTTTTGGAGGATCACGATCAGGATTGATGCGTGCGTCCCCGTACCCTTCGACCATCTCCTTGGACAGCTCTTTGGAGTACACCTTGAAGACTTCGCTGAACTCGAAGTACCTTCCTTGGCTTGGCATGCAGATCCACACGTGCTTGACGGCCTCGAATGGAATTTGCCGCTGGACGAGAAACATTCCATTGATCGTGATCACTGCATTGTAGCGCATGAGCTCGTAGGCTGGAACGTACAATACTGCAATTGGTGACCTCGGCCTTCCGGGAATCCTTGTTCTCACCGTCTGATTTCTCGGATCCCATGGCGGGAACGTCCCGAAGTGGCTGTGGACCCGACCGCCTGACGCCCCTCCGCCTGGAAGAAGTCCTTTCGCCACGATGTTGGCGAGAAGCTCTGGGGCCGTGGTGTGATACCCCCCACCAATCTGGTTGACCAAGCTTGTAGTCAAGTGACATGCGACCCTGTCGTCATTCACCCGCACCAGTGAATTGGAGTTGCTGGAGTGTCCACTTGTGGCCCTGATCGCCCATGGCTGCACCCAATTGTCGCATCGACGAAGGGTCCCGGACGTAATGTCGTGTGTCAACCTGTGCCCTCCGAGTTCTTCAAGTTGGGCACGTTGGGTTGCACCGACGCCCGGAGTACCGTCCCACGGCGTATCGGATGCCCTCTGTCCAGGTTTGGGCGCCACGATCTTGATGCCCAGGAATTGAAGTCTGATCCTTCCGTTCGCGCGGTACTCGTAGTACGCGTAGTCGATCAGCATTTGGATTCGTCTCTGATACTCAGAGTTGTCGTCTCGAGCTGAACTCCTTGCATAGTATCTCCCGCTTTGCCAGAAGTTCTCCAAGTTGATGAAGTCTTTGAGCATCACCCACCCTCCGGTGTCGCACGGGATTGTTGGGAGCTGATTGTGCATGTAGTTCGTTTCTCTGTTTGCTAGGCGGCGCCTAAGCAAACGTTGCACATCGTAGCCCAGGGATTTGATCCTGCGATGATAATCCCGATTGCGATGGTTGTCATTGGAGGAAGTCGCGGGAACCAGGGCTGAAAAATGCCTGTGAGCGAATCTTGCACCCTTGATGGGTAGGAGCCGGAGGTCCCCTCCGATGACCAGCTTGCCGATGTTCACGTACCCCACGTTCGAGGAAGGATACTCATCGATGTCGCTTCGGAGAGGGTGTGTTGCAACGTCTCCTCCAACCTCCTGCTCAATCAATCGGCGCGTTGCATCCTGCGATTGTAATCCGATCTCATAGATGCTCTGCCCACCGACCCACGATACGTCCTCGATGGACTTGATGATGTCAAGGCAAGACTTCGGCTCGTGGTAGCGAATCTCGACGAATGAACGAGCATTGCCGGCGTTGTTCGCAATCCACCGCCTAGGAGCTGGCGCAGCTTTGGGCTCTGGAAGATCAGATCTCGGTTGGGGTCTGCGTTTGGGTCGAAGCATTCTTGTTGCAGCTTCTTCAGGTTCTTCATCGACTTCGATCACGACCACTGTAGGGTCCTCAACTGAGATCGATGCTTGACGCCGTCTTGGCAGCGGGCCTCTGGAATCCTCCGAAGACGCTGCGGCCCCAGGCTCAACGCTTTCCCCATCCCCACCCGGAGTATCCGAAGCGGTTCCTGGTACTTGCGGAGCGCGAGCGGCATCTCGCAAATTCTTCTCTGCCCATCTCTGGAAGATCTCTGTTGGTGGCGTACTGCTTGACTTGTGCATCTTTGCCAGGCTTTTCCCAATGATGCTGAATGCTTCGTTCACCACCAGAGCGTTGTACCCCCCATTTGCTTCGCAATTTCGGGTGTTGTGGCCATAGTTGCCGCAAGCAAGGCACATGCTGGGTGGTTGCATACCAGCGGTTATGCGTAGGGCATTGAGTGCTCGGACGTAACCTTCACAAGGACGTGATATCTCACCCAGCTCGGTCTCGTTCGGTTCTTGCATGGTGGGGATAGAGCTTGCCTCGGGCACGCCCATATCGTCATCTTCCTGCCCCTCAGGTTCCACGCCGGAGGATCCGAGCGCTTCCCCTTCATTGGCTTGATCCTCACCTTCTGGTTCTCCACCACGAGGTTCTGCACTGGGGACGGGCGCTGCTGAGAACTCTTCAGGTCGTTGATCTTCCGGAGAAAGGGTTCCGAGGACTGGTTCCTCAATTGGCAGGACTCGATCGACAAGGACCGCATGCCATTCCCCTTGGAGTAAAGTGTTCTCGTACTCCGTGATCTGCTGAA